CGTTGAGCGCCATTTTATTTTCAATTCCCCCCCTCTCTCTATTCGTCTTCCTCGCACGCACGCTTTTTCACTTCCTCTCTCTCTTTCTTTCTCACTTGGGGCATTTGCAACAAGTCATTATAAAAAAAAAAATTAATAATAATAATAATAATAAAACAAAAATAAAATATTCCAATGAAATAAAAAAAAAAAAAAAAAAAAACAATGTCGTTGTCATTTTTTTTTTTAACAACACAATATATATATATATTATTATTATTATAAAAATAAAAATAAAAAATTATAAACTGTTTACCTTATTTATAAAATAATAATAATAATAATAATAATAACAAAACCCATCATCATATTAAATTAAAAAAAAAAAAAAAAAAAGAAAAAAAAATTATTTATTTATTAAATGTAAACGTGGCAGTGAAATCGCTGGACTAACTAAATAAATATTATTATTATTATTACCACCATTTATAATCAGTATTATTATTATTATCGTAATATACACAACATCGACGAAGGCGAAAAACGAAAACCGTAACAACGACGACGACGACGACGACAACCTCAAAAAAAAGATGTCGGAATAAAATACCCAAAAAAAATTTTTTTTTTTTATTCATCACTACCTGTGAAAATACCTGTAAACAACAGCACCACCACCGCCACCGCCATCATCATCACCACCACCACCACCACCGCCATCGTCATCGTAACCACCACCACCATCACATTCTTCCAACCCACCGCCAAACTCATTCAAGTGACGGTAAAGGTGGCTGATTGTTGCCTTTGTATTGACGGCATTTGCCGTGGTGATGACGATGATAATGATGATAACGACGACGACGACGATGCTGTCTACTGCCACGTTCGACGCCGACGCCTACACCCTCTCGTACAGCCAACCATCAATTTTTTTTTCTTTTTTTAAATTTTTTTTTTTTTTTTTTGACTTTAACACTTTTTAAAAAAAAAAAAAAATAATAATAATAAAATATAAAAAAAAAAAAAATTTGTTTTTCAGTCAGGTTTTCACTTAATGTATGAAAACTACAATTAAAAACTAACTAATTAACTAACTACCAACTACTACTACTACCACTACTACTACTCATAATAATAATAATGAATAAAAATCCCTGAATTACAATTATACATATATATATATAATTAAACTTACTTTTATAACCTTTATTATCATCATCATCATCGTATCATACATATATACATAAATATATAAATACGACGTAGCAAAATAATTAATTAATAATAATAATAATAATAGTAATAATAGTAGTAGCAATAATAATATTAATATTAATAATAATAATAATTTACAGTATTTTTTTTCACTTTTCTTTTCTTTCTTACTCTTTTATATATACAAAATATAAAATTAAAAATTACAAAAAATAATAATAATATTAATAATAATAATGAGAAAAAAAAAAAATTTTTTTCTTCTTCTTCTTCTTCTGTTTCCTCATCCTTCCCTTCCCTCCCCTCTTCCTCCTTCTCCACCTCCTCATCATCGTAATCATCATTCGGTCAACATGTTACTCCCAAAAAAAACAAAAAAAAACTTTCAATTTGTTTTGCAATAAAACTTTATTCCCTCCCCCCCACGCCCCTAATTTTTGTTATCGTACATAGTAGTAATAATAATAATAATAATTATGTACATATTTATTTATTAATAATCGTTAATTTTTATCATTACTGTATATATATTTATATATATTTTTTCTTCTGCTTTTATTTCAATGACCGATCGTGTTTATTTAATTATTATTATTATTATTATTATTATTATTATTAAATTTTTTTTTCATTTACCATTATAATAAAATATATTAAAAAATAATAATTTGCAAAATAAGTCTTATGTTACTGTACAATTCCCCCTCCTCCCACCTTTGACGCGTTTTTAAATCAACACACGTCACATCGTGTTTATTATTATTATCATTATTAGGTTTTGTCGTTTTTTCCAAAGGAGAGAGAGAGAGAGAGAGAGGAAAAACGCACGCACGCACAAATGCATCATTACACGTGGCATCAACCATACCTTCTCCTTATTACACTCTCTAAAATAATAATAATAATAATTGGTAAAACGGATGTGGCCAGTGATAGGGAATAAGAGGCGGAAAGAGAGACCGTTGGGAAAAAAATAGAAAAAATATCAAATCCGAATTCATTTCCGACGACAACGACGATTCGCGAAAATAATAATAATAATGATAAACCTATTTGAACGAATGGTAAAACAAATCGAAACCGTTAAAAACCTGAACGAAAATATGTTAAAACGTGCTTGACAATATATAAAAATTATGTTTTATCATCGTTATCATTATTAGTTTTCGCTCTTTGATTTAATTAAATTTTTTTTTTTTTTTTTTAAAAAGGGGGCAGGGGAATCCCCCCATTCTTCTCTAAACTCATAATAATAATAATAATGAAATGGAACATTAAATATTAAATACCTTCCCGAATCGAAAAACGTCGTGTTCTCAACAAGCGTAAGAAAGGTTAGGAGAAAAAGGAAAGAAGGAAGGAATGATACCGGATATAGATAGATAGAGAGAGATAGAGATAGGAGACCACGTTGAACAAACAACTGACACGCCGGCTGATTGTTTAAAAAAAAAAATTAACAAATTTCTTACCTTTACTTTACTAACAAGCGACTAATGGCGCAGGTGTACGCACATTAAAACAAACATGTAAAAAAAAAAAAAACCTTTTCCGTTTTCTTTATTTTAAATTACGAGTGCGTGAGTGCGTGCGTGCGTCGGAAAAACGATAACGAGGGGGAAAAATGGCGGCAAAAACAAAAAACAAGAGCAAAAATTCAAACGCATACCTAAAACGACGGTTAACAAAAAAAAAATTAAAAATCAACCGATCGATCGATCGATACCTGTAATCAGTATTATAATATCCCCGTTATAAAAAAAAAAAAAAATTGATGATGATAATAATAATAATAATAATAATAATAATGAAAGTAACAAAACTTTAAGTACAAAAAACGTAACACACATCATCATCATCATCTATTTCTCTTGCTATGTAAATTTTTTTAAATATTAAAATAATAAATATTCTAATTCCACGTTCACTACTAGGCTTAACAAACGTTGGAAAAGAAAAAAGAAAAAAAATTCTATTTAATAATAATAATAATAATAAAAAGAAACTAAATAAAACTCCTTTTGAATAATCAATAATCAATAATAATAATAATATAATACAATCGAGAGGAAAAGAGCGACAAAGGAGGGGGGGTGCGAGGGTGGAAGAAGAGATTTGTTAGCGGGGCGGGACGGGAGGGAAAATGGAGAGAGAAATGAAATAAAATAAGGTAAGAAAGATACCTGTTCGTGACCTGCATTATTACCTAACAACAGCAAAATAATCATAATAATAATAATAAAACCGTTTGTTTTACCTCAACAAATTCAAAATAAAAAAAAAAAAAAAAACAAAAAATTTACACAAATTTCGGAAAACTTAATAAAAAAAAAAAAAAAAAAAAAAAACGACTACGTCATCGTTCATCATCATCATCAAATCTGCGACAACATCAACAAATGCAACAATACAGACGATGACGTCAACGACGACGACGATGACGACAACAACAACAACAACAAATTTTCTTTCGTTAAAAAAAAACGTTTTTCCAAATGCAAAATGGCGGCCACCGCCGCTGTTGTTTATTATTATATGTTGTTGTCGTTGTTTTTGCTATTATTATTATCACCATCGGAGTGATGATGATAATAATAATAATAATAATATTGATAATAAAGAGAGTAAAATACCAAATTTAAATGTATATTTAAGAAAAAAAAAAAATAAAAAATAAATAAAGGAAACGTTTTCTCTCATCAATTAATTATCATCACGAACCTTCCTTCCTTCCTTCCTTCCTCCTTCTCCTCCCCCTTTCGTTTGCACCTTTAATTATTCTTTCTTTTTTTTTTTCCCCTTCTTTCTTTCCTTTCAAACACATGTACGTGTACTCGCGTTCCTCTTATATTTGAACTAATTAAAAATTTAAAAATTTAAAAAAAATGAAAAAAAAAAAAAAAAAAAAAACAAAAATAGAAAACCTGTACAAAACAATTATTAAACTTGTGAGAAAGAAAAAGTGAGAGAGAGAGAGAGAGAAAGAGAGAAAAAGGGGGAAATGGAGGTAAGAAGAAGAAGGTGGAGAGTAAGGTGAGGAGGGGAAAAAGGCCAAGAAAACGAGAAGAAAAAAAAAAAAAAAATCAGGCTTTACTTTTTTTTTTTTTTTTAAAGAGATTCTCTTCCTTGATTTTTTTCTTTTTTTCAACGGGATAACTTGGCCGCCATTTTTTTTTTTTTGAGAAAAATAACAACGTAATACACCTCCTCCACTTTGTCACCCCCTCCCCAAACAAAACAAAACCTGTCGATGGTATATCACCACCATCATCATCATCATCCTTACACGCATCCTTCCTCCTCCTCCTTTTCCTTATTTCTTTCTTTCTTTCTCGCTCTCTTTTACATAAAAATTTTTTTTTTTTTTTGTTTTTTTTTTTCCATTTTTTTTTCTACCCATAATTACAAAAGTAAATGATGAAAAACGAAAATGGACCCTAAAGCCCTCAATTGTTGTGTTCATAACTTCCTACGATATATGTACAAATAGATAAAGACACGTTTTTTTTTTTTTACTCTATGACAATCTCATTTTCTTTTTACGCGCTTTTCTTATTCTTTCCTTCTCACCAACGAAACTTATTTCGAAGGGGAGAGAGAGAGAGAGAGATAGAGACCAAAAAAGAAAAGCGCGATGATGAAATGAAGACCGAAAATTAAAAAAAAAAAAAAAATATAAATTTTTCGTTTTTGTTTCACCAGATTTTTCGGGTTGGTTCCCGAAATCCCGATGGGGGGTGCGTGCCTGTTGGTGTGTCGGTGGCAAGACCAGGAACGTACCACGAATTTCCCTCCTTCGCCATTTAACGACGAGCTGCCAACGATCGCCTCAATTGTGAAACTCGAGCTCTCAACATTTCCTGTTGCCTCCTCAACTCTGCCTTCTTCCTCGTTAATTCAGCTTCCTCCCACGTCAAAGTGTTACAGAAATCCGCTCCGTAGCTCAATATGACAACTTTTGGAGCTTTTTCGTTTCCCGCCGTGAATGGAACGAGTTTTCTTAGTTCTTCGAATGCGTTTCGCAAATCGATTCTCCTCTGTCGTTCCATGCTGTTGTGTATTGTTCTCTTTTCCGTCGTGTCGGCGTCGAAATCCGAACTCAGACTTCCGCCGTTTCTATAATGACTCCTCCGGTTTTTCGGCTTTTTAGACTTGGCCGATTTAAAGTGTCTCTGATATTGGTATTTTCTTTTCTTAATGGATTTATTAACGTAGTCTCCGTATTCGTCACATTGAGCGCTTCGTTTGCTACCGGCACCACCGCCACCGTTACCGTTATTACCACCACCACCACCACCGCCACCTGTCCGCCGCGAATCACTTCTCACGGTCACTTTACGTTTACTATGCAACGTTTTCGGTTTAAGCGTCCTGTCGTCGAGACTGTATCGGGGTGGAGCCGACGTTGTTCGAGAACTTTGTCTTTTCAATTCTTTTTTACTTATGGCCGAAGCCATGGTTAACTGTAACTGCTGACGATCGGAAAATGACGGATTCGTCGGCAAAACTCCTCCGCTGCTGCTGCTACTTCGACTGCTCGGCTTTTTACTTTCACCGTACACGGTTTCAACGTCGATTTCTTCCTCTGCAACAACGAAAAGAAAAAAAAATAAAAATAAATATCGATCGATCTATCAATCAATCAATCAATTATTTCTCATTCATTTTCTTTTTCACTTAACTCCCCCACCCCACAAAAAAAAAATGTCACGTGACTCTCGAAAAATAAAATTTTAAAAACCGGAGTAAATCATAATTAAAAAAAAAAAAAACATTTTTTTTTCTTCCAAAAAAAACAACCAAATTTTTTTTTTTTTTCGCTAAAGAGGATGTGGTACGTGTAGTTTGTGCCAAGGCGAATCCACTTCAGGTTATGAAACGTTGGAGGAGAGCAACCGAAAAGTTGATGACCTTTAATATTGACTTTGAACTTACGAAATTTTTCATTTATAAAAAAAAAGAGAGAAAGAGAGAGAGAGAGAGAGAGAGAGAGAGAGAGAGAGAGAGAGAGAAAGAGAGAGAAAACTGCAATCGGATTCCATATTTTCACATAAAAATAAATAAATAAATAAAATTAATTTTATTAAATTCCTTCCTCATCATCATTAAACTCCCGCCATTTTTTTTTTTTTTTTTAAATTTAAATTTCAATAATTTAACGGATGCAAAAGAGGGAACGTAAACCAAGTTAAAAAAAATATTTCTGGAGAAATAAGAGAGAGAGAGAGAAAAAATTTCTTCTCTCTCTTCTTATTCTTCTTCTTTTTCTTCCTCATATTTTTCTTCTGCTACTCCAAGACTTCCACACCACGTGCCACACCCAATTTTTTTTTTTTTTTTTTTTTAAAACTTCAGACGCAAGTTCAGACGACAAGAAGCTCAAGTGTGAGCTCCTCTTCTCTCTCCTTTTTCTCACCCGCGCTTTCCCAGAAATTTTACGCGCACGCGTATTCAAATCCCGCCGATTTTCATTTTTTTTCATTTCACGTTTTACAAAAAAAAAAAAAAAAAATCTCGTGACATTTCGCCGCCAAAAAAAAAAAAAAAACAGTCCGCCATATTTTTTTTTCTTTCCCTCCACCCCCCCTCGCTCTCATGCTCAAATTCATGTCCGATTCTATATTATTTAATTTATTATTATTAATAATAATAATACTCGCATTCATTCTTTACTTGGAAACGTATTTCCAGTTTTTTTCTTTTCTTTTCGACCTGGAATCTCTATGGGTTCGATTAACCGCAATTTTAATGCTAAAACCCGTAAAAAAAAAAAAAAAAAATTATTTAGAAATCAAGTTTCTGATTATAATAAACGTTATAATAATACAGGTTTACATAGTCCGGGGCGAAAAAAAAAAAAAAAAAACCAAAACTCATTACCTAAATATCTACGAGCCTAGCCAGCCACACTTTTGTGTGTGAGTTTTAACAAGTACGAAGAAAACAACAACAACAAACAACAACCAAAAAATTAAATTTAAAAATTACACAACGATAATAATAATTAAAAAAAAAACCAAACCAAACCGACATTTTTCTGTTTTATTGTTTTGACGTAATAATACAATAATAAAACAGGAAAGAGTGAGAGAGAGAGAGAGGGGGGGAAGGGAAAGAAAAAAGGGAAAACACATTCCCAAAAAAAAAAAAAAATTTATTTTTAAAATCGCAACGTCCGAAAATAAAAATTAAATGATTGATTGATTGATTGATTGATTGTTTTTATCGATTCTAGATTCGGGAGTTTTTTTACGAACGCACGCATTCTTCCTTCTTACGCAAACGGGGACGTCTCATTGACGAACATTGAATTGATTGAGAGAGAGAGAGAGAGAGAGAGGGTCAAGGTGAAGGAAAAGAAAATAAAAAAGAGAGAGAGAGAAAGAGAGAGAGTGAGAAAAGTCATTACAAGAAAATAACATTAACCCGAACAGGATTTAATGAGAGAAAAAAAAAAAAAAAAAACGAGACGGAGAAAAACTCCAAAGAAACAAGAAGAAGAAAACGAAGGGAATAAAAAATGAAAAAATAAAAAAAAAATGGAAATGTTGGAAACGGAGAGAAGAGAGAGAGAGAGAGAGAAGAGAAAAAAAAAGCGGGGGAAAGATGAAATGAGAGAGAAAGAGAAAAAGAGTGAAAGAGAGAGGAAGAGGGAGAGAGAAATCCTTCGAAAGAATTCAAAATACTAGAATTTAGCAGACGGCGGGAATCGATTTTTTTAAAGGGAAGTGACCCCTTCACCCTCTCCTCTCCCCTTCCCTCCACTCCCCACACCCCCCCCTCTCACACACACAAAACTTTTCTTTCCTTTCCTTTCGTTTCCTTTCCGCACGCCACGCAAAAATAGAAAGAACGAAAAAAAAAAAAAAAATCCGCATTTACTTTTAGATTCACTTTTTTTGCTTGTTTGTTTGTTTGTGTTTGTTTGTTGTTTATTTATTATTACTTTTTTTTTCTTCTCTTTTTTTACTACGAAAATAAAAAACAAAATACGCCCTTTCATTATTTATTTTTAACGTAAAAAAAAAAAAAAATTTTCCTTTTTTTTTTTTTTTTAACGGTTTTCTCCGTCCGTAGGGAAAACAAAGTTTGCGTAACGTTTTTAACATTTACCCTTCGCGCGACAAATTCAATTTCACACCCGAATCTTGTATAATTTTATGCTCGATTATATATATATATATAAATTTTAAAAACGGAAATGAAATAGTGAAAAATCATGCACACCATTCGAACCAGTTTAAATAATAATAATCATCGGTTTATATTACATGGAACCGCAAACGACTTCCGCTTGAAAATGGCGCGCGCGCAAAAAAAAAAAAAAAAAAAAAAATTCTCATTCTATCTAACCTTGTAAATAACCCAAAGGAAATACAATATTTGATTATTATTATTATTATTATTATATACAAGTTTTTTAGTTTTTTTTTGCGTCTACGGCGTCAATGCCTACAACAACAACAACAACAACAACACTACTACTACTACTACCACTACTACCACCACAACCGTCCGTCCGTCCATGCTCCAGATAAACTTTTTTTTTCGTAAAAGAATCAAAAGGGGCGTATGCTCGAAATTATAAAAAAAAAAAAAAAAAAAAAAAACATTGCGACATTCACCTGTACCTGCTTTTCTTTGAATTTGTGCAAAAATAAAAAAATGAATTATACCAAGTCTACTACTACCCTCCCACCACCCCCCTATCTCTCTCACTCACTCTCGCAACTCTCTTTCCTTCCTCGTCTCAATGATTCCAATGAATGAATGAATGAATGAAACTTGGCATTAGAAAAAAAAAAGAATGAATCGAAATACAGTCTCAGTCAATCAATCCTCCACGCAGACCGCGTACCACCTTTCGTTTATTTATTATTATTATTATTATTCTCTCTATTTTTTATTATTATTATCCATTAGGACATGTTTAGCGCTCTCGACCTCCAAACTCGGTCAGACAAATTATACTTCTTCGGTTGGTAATAAAAAAACCAATTTCGTAGACATTTTTTTTATTTTTTTATTTTTTGCGAGATTTAAATTTTATTTTTTGCCAATTTCGAATTTTATTTTTTAGTTTTTAACGCGCGTGCGCATGTGCGAAACCTGATTTTCGACGGTTCCACTTTTTCCGCCACGGGGCCTTTTCGACTTGCGATTTTTTTTTTTAATGTTCGTTTTTACGCTCGGTTTCCCCCCCCCTCTCCAACCACCTTTCCCGTTCTCCTCCTTCGCAACTGTTGCCAATTAAAATAAAATTCAAACGGTTCACGCGGGGGAGGAGGGAGAGAGAGAGAGAGAGAGAGAGAGAAGGCGAAAGGTTCTCATGAAAAATTTCAAGAGTTTCTTGAAAAAAAAAATTCAAAAAAAAAAAAAAAATGATGAAGAGAAACAAGAGAGAAGAAAAATCTTCAAGGGTACTTCTCCTCCTCCTCCTCCTTCTTCTCTTTTATATTTCGTCCAATAAAAAAAAAATTCCCTCATTCCCCCCTCTCACCTTTTCTTTTCTTTTCCCTTCTCCTCACTCCCACCCACCCACCCATCCACCCACCTCCCTCCCTCCCTCGTGTATTAATTTTTAACTCAAGAGTGGAATCAATAAGAAAGGAAAAGGAAGGATAAATCAGTGAAGATTATTATTATCATTATTATTATTATAGGTTCGAAATAATAATAATAATAATAATATAAATGGACTTTCGGTTTGAAAAAAAAAATAAAAAAAAAAACGTCGATACGAAAGAATCGAAAGAGAAATAATGCGGATTTTAATGGAGATACTGTTAATCGAGATCAAGCCCCCAGAAAAAAGAGAGTGAAGAAGAGAAAGAGAGAGAGAGAAAAAAAGAAATAAAGAAAGAAAAAAAAAGAGAGGAAAGAAAGAAAAAAAAAAAAAAAAAAGAGCAAAACTGCATTCCACAACGCCATTCGCGGTTCGTTGGACCGAGAATCAAGGTACGTTGTACCGTGTTTACCAATGATAAATTATCATAATAATAATAATAATAATCATTAGCATTATTTTACTTCGGAACGAACGAGACGTATTGTTTTCATTGAGAAAGGAGAGGAGAGGAAGAGAGAAAAAAAAAAAGCATTCGTTTCCCTTTTTTTCCGTTTTGTTTTTGTTTTTTTATTTTGAGGTGACTTTTTTTCTTTTTCATTTACCTGCCCCAACGTAAAAAAAATTGCACTACTACTACGTGGCAGAAAAAAAACAAAATGGGTGGGCATCGAAACACTTTTTTTTTTTTTTTTTTCCCAGGCATTCGAACCGGTCATTAATTATCGCGTAAATTAATAGACTAATTTATGAAAGTAACACCACTTGAATATTGTCAGTCACAGTCAGTCAGTCAGTCAGTCATGTGGCCTGACAAACGATGGTCTACCATTTCATTCTGAGAATTACACACACACACTCACGCATGTACACGTAATTTTTTTTTTTTTTTCAGTTAAACCGAATACGAGCGTGATTATATATTAATCCGAAATCCGATGCGCCCACCATCATCGTAACGTTTACGAGAGGATAATGTGGGATTAACATAGTATACCCGATCGAAATCGAGGAATGATGATATGGCAATACCATTTTTTCAAAATTCCTTCCTTCCTTCATCTCATCCCCCGCCCCCGCTATCACCATTCGCCGAGAAGAAGAGGACTTGAAGCGTTCCTCAACACTCTTTCTCTCTCTCAGGAGAATTATTGACATCGAGATATCATCGGTAGCAGAAAGAAGGTACGTTTAGCGTGGTAGTACGATGGCACACATACACATACCCGCGTGAACCCACACGCTCTGACCGTATATAAATATAAATATTATATTCGTCGTTAAAAGTATGGCGTTGCCATAAAAATAAAAATGATCTAAACTAAATTTACTAACCAACACCAACTTCCTTTGTGACATTGGAAATATTTGACCTCTTGCC